AATTTCCGAAGATTCCTCGGAGGAGAGCCGTGCCGGGGCCTACACAGCTCGTACTCCTGCGGGTGTGAGCGGCTGAGATGATAAAAAAAAAAAAGTTGGTTGTGTTATCAGACTTGGTTTTCACTGGTTCCCGACACATTTTACAGATGACTGTGGTTTGTTTTTGGTCCGACTTGCCATGACCGAAATACTGCCAGACTGCCGAACTACAAAAACCCTTCTTTGAAACAATTTCCTCCGACTCTCCTTGCTGCGACATCTTCATGTGCTCTGTGTTGTGGTTTGAGAGGGCGGCGCTTGGTGACGGCGTGCCTGGGTCCGCGATTGTGATTGGTTGGGAGGAAGCAGTGACTAGCATAAACCTACATGCTAGGCTACAATGAGAAGGAAGGAAAACTGCGTTTCTTTTTTATCGAACTTTTATCGACCCGCTTTTTTTCTATTGCGCCACACGTCTATCGATAGATATATATCGTTATTGAATTATCGCCCAGCCCTATGTTAGCTGTATTAGTGACAAAGATATGACAGCAAAAACTAAATATTTGCTTGAGTACAGGCTGATATTAGCATTGTCAGCTGTTAGGCGGCAGCGCTACACGATCTGTATTGGTATAAATGTACGCGCTGGCCGATTCAGTTCAATCAGCGACCATGCCATGAGGTCAAGTGAGGAGTATGCATTGTCACTCCTTCCATCTTTAAATTCAGACTTGTGTAACCTACAAAAAGGCATCATTATGTGACTTTTATCATGTAAATGGAGGAAGAGAGATAAATTGGCTTCACAAATTGGTCCGTCCAAAATTCTGCAACACATTATTATTAAACGTTATTTAACCAGGAAAAAAATCCCATTGAGATTAAAAACTTATTTTTCACAGGAGTCCTGAACAAGAGGCAGCAAAGCTACATACTGAACAGAAATATATTAAATTGAATGATAGGTACATAAAAAAAAAACATATCAAGTAAAACAATGATAGATTATAGAAGCTGTTTCAAATTCTTTCATTTTCAACTTAAAAGCATTTAAGGATAAAAACTCTGTCAGCTTCCATTCTGTAAAATATTCCCCACACAAGGAGCTGCGTAGATAAAGGCTTTCTTCCCTAGGTCTGTTCAGGCAAAAGGGACAGTGAGCATCAGCTGATCGTTAGATCTCAGGGCATAAGAGGCCATGTTTCTCTGTGTTAGGATAATTATCAGTGATGATGTGTGAGTTTATTACACCTTAATATTAGCTGCCTGTTGCGTGTCAGAACTGGTGTTTTTCCCAGTAGTTTATCTAATTAGACCAGTTTCTCGTAACGTGACTCCGCCAGATGGATTTGCTCCGCATATCCATCTGGAAACCTTCCGTTGAAGTAATTTTGGGAAGGGGCGAAAATACTGGTTAGCTGATTGGCCTATGTTGGTGATAGACGGGCCAAATAAACCAATCAGATCAACGAAGCATATGACGTACTAACAGAGCGACGACAAAAACACAACCACAAGCCAAGCTACTCTTGCCGAAACCAGTCGGGAGAAGAGCAAAAACATCTTTTCCTCTGAGAAAAGCCTCCAGAGCAGTGTTTTGCTCTTCTTTCAGTGAAGAAATGCACTGTAATTCCGATAAAATTTGCTTGATAGCCACGCTAACGCTAGTTTCATCGGCTGAAGCCGCCATGTTCCTTAGACTGAACTGCCGCGCTTCTCGTTGCGTCACACCTCAACCTGCCTCAAAGCCAACGCTGATTGGACGTTCGTTTGGTGAACGGCTCCAAATTTTCTTTAACGGAGAGTCTCCAGACTGATCTGCGAGTGAAACCTTGAAAGCTTGCGAGATCAGGATGGTCTCACGAGGCTAAGTTCCTCGGTCTGGCTATATAGTTATAATCTTCATTTTGTACATGGCAAAAGAATGGAGCCATGGATGTTTCCTCATCTGCAAATGTTTATTATGTAATAATGTGGCAGTCTCATTCATCGGGGCAAGACTAAATGATGCATTTAATCTCACATTTAGTCTGGTTTATCAGGCTACTGGATCTCAGACTTTTCTTCATTCTTACACCTTCACTGGGAGGTGCTAACCGTTGCTTAGCCGTATGATTTGTTATTTACCCCTTGTTTACATGCACAGTATTAGAGCTCCTTTTTTATTCTACATATTACACAAAGGGCTTTATTTACCAACACAGTGAGTATAAACAAAGCATAAAACACAAATAAAACAAGCAGCATACCAGCAGGATGCGGTAATCCATACAACACATCTAAACGAAGCAGAGTCACCTAGGTTATAAATGACTATGCACCTTTAAAGGTTGCAAGTTTTAGTCAATCATTGAAATCCACACTTTTATTTCAGACCTCTTCACATACATATGTAATACTGAGTCCTTCTGTTTTGAATAACAAAAATTCAAATAAAAAAAAATGAAATAAAAACATAGTTCTTTAAATGTTTTCCAAAATCTTTAAATTCTTAACCTTGTTACAAATAAAACATCTTTTGGAGATAGTTAAAAAAAGAAAGTCTTAAAAAACTTCAGGTTTATATACGGTATGCATGGCATTAGTGAAATCTGTAATTTATTTCAAGCTAGGTCATTTCCACAAAAAAATACTCAAAGTAATATATTTACAGAAAAAGGGAAGTAAGCAAGAATATTCAAATTGTAGTCCGTGCTTCCACAATTTTCCACATTATTGGAAAATATATTAAAAGAAAGATAATGTATATTGATTGAAAAAAAAGAATAAAATGTGCTCAGAATATTTACAGATGTAAAGACATGATTTTAAATAATTGTAAAGGTTTATTAATAGATCATTTGGGAAAATATGGAATCAGGAGCATTGAGTTTTACTGGATAAAAAGTTATGAGAAGGACAGACAGCAGTTTGTTTTGGTGGGTGAAGCATCTTCATCACGATTGGATCGCTTGAGAAATAACACAAAGTTTCAGCATTGGGTCCTAGCCTCTTTATAATATAAAGTCTCTATTTTTATGTTATCTACAGGTGCTGGTCATAAAATTAGAATATCATGAAAAAGTAGATTGATTTCAGTAATTCCATTTAAAAAGTGAAACTTGTATATTATATTCATACATTACATACAAACTCATATATTTCAGATGTTTATTTTGTTTAATTTTGATGATTACAAATGACAACAAATGAAAATCTCAAATTCATCATATCAGAAAATTAGAATATTGTGAAGAGGTTCAAAATTGATGGCCCCTGGTGCCACACTCTAATCAGCTAATTAACTCAAACCACCTGCAAAAGCCTTTAAATGGTCTTTCAGTCTAGTTCTATAGGCTACACAATCATGGGGAAGACTGCTGACTTGACAGTTGTCCAAAAGACGACCATCGCCACCTTGCACAAGGAGGGCAAGACACAAAAGGTCATCGCTAAAGAGGCTGGCTGTTCACAGAGCTCAGTGTCCAAGCACATTAATAGAGAGGCGAAGGGAAGGAAAAGATGTGGTCGAAAAAAGTGTACAAGCAAGAGAGATAACCGCACCCTGGAGAGGATTGTGAAACAAAACCCATTCAAAAATGTGGGGGAGATTCACAAAGAGTGGACTGCAGCTGGAGTGAGTGCTTCAAGAACCACCACACACAGACGTATGAAAGACATGGGTTTCTGCTGTCGCATTCCTTGTGTCAAGCCACTCTTGAACCACAGACAGCGTCAAAAGCGTCTAAAGAGAAACAGGACTGGACTGCTGGTGAGTGGTCCAAAGTCATGTTCTCTGATGAAAGTAAATTTTGCATTTCCTTTGGAAATCAAGGTCCCAGAGTCTGGAGGAAAAGAAGAGAGGCACTTCATCCACGTTGCTTGAAGTCCAGTGTAAAGTTTCCACAGTCAGTGATGGTTTGGGGTGCCATGTCATCTGCTGGTGTTGGTCCATTGTGTTTTCTGAGGTCCAGGGTCAACGCAGCCACATACCAGGAAGTTTTAGAGCACTTCATGCTTCCTGCAGCTGACCAACTTTTTGGAGATGCAGATTTCATTTTCCAACAGGACTTGGCACCTGCACACAGTGCCAAAGCTACCAGTACCTGGTTGAAGGACCATGGTATCCCTGTTCTTAATTGGCCAGCAAACTCTCCTGACCTTAACCCCATAGAAAATCTATGGGGTATTGTGAAGAAGAAGATGCAATACACCAGACCCAACAATTCAGAAGAGCTAAAAGCCACTATTAGAGCAACCTGGGCTATCATAACACCTGAGCAGTGCCACAGACTGATCGACTCCATGCCACGCCGCATTGCTGCAGTAATACAGGCCAAAGGAGGCCCAACTAAATACTGAGTGCTGTACATGCTCATACTTTTCATGTTCATACTTTTCAGTTGGCCAACATTTCTATAAATCCTTTGTTTTTATTGGTCTTCAGTAATATTCTAATTTTCTGATATGATGAATTTGAGATTTTCATTTGTTGTCATTTGTAATCATCAAAATTAAACAAAATAAACATCTGAAATATATGAGTTTGTATGTAATGTATGAATATAATATACAAGTTTCACTTTTTAAATGGAATTACTGAAATCAATCTACTTTTTCATGATATTCTAATTTTATGACCAGCACCTGTATATTTAGATTATTGATTGCTGTTTTTTTTTATTTTGCTTTTCTTGCTAGTGTTCAATTTACAAGTCTGTTGAATAGATCAATTTAACTTTATTAAAACTGAACTTTTAAGAGAAATTTACTCTCTGCATTTAACCCATCCCCTGGGGAGCAGTGGGCTGCCACTGTGCAGCGCCCGGGGAGCAATCAGGGGTTAAAAGTCTTGCTCAGAGATCCAGAGCAGCAGTCTGTTGGAGTGGGTTTCAAACTCACAACCTCAGGATTCCAAGCCCTATGCCCTAACCACTAGGCTGTCACTACCCTAAATAAAGATAGATGCATCAAATCAAATGTTAGCATTGCTGAGCAGCCTTTTCCTCGGGGATCATTGTTCAGGTTCAGAAATGTACCTGTGATGTCGTGCTGTTTGAAAGAGTCGCTGTAGATCTGATACTGATTGGGACAGTGCTTTTTCAACCATTTGCAAACGTCCTGCTGAGTCCAAAGGGCCACTGGTTTGGACAGCTTCACGTATCCAGGCTGAATGACAAAGGAAAAGACAGATAGAAAAAAAATTAGAAAGCTGAGTGACCTTTATGAATCCAAATCTGTCATAAATAGCTGAACAACCGTTTTAAGCCACCCCTTATTTAATCATGTCACTTCCAATCAGCCAGACTTCCTGGTCATTCTGCAAACTCGTCTCAATCATTATTTTTACTACTTACTGAAAATCTTTTATAGAGTATCTTATGAAATTTTCGTGAAAATTAAGAGGTTTCAATTTACAGTTTTCCTGATCAAAAGGATGCCAGCATATCTCAACCAAGGTATCCTTTTTATCTCTTGCTATGTCTTTAGGAAAAGGTCCTCACTAGTAGGTTGATAAATGAACACCAGTTATAATAAATGACAATACACTGACTTGAATTTTCAACATTTTCCACCAGCGACACTGTACCAATACACTACACAACAACACACTCACGTACCTATCTCTAAGTTATACTGAAGGGTGAGCCATAATTGCGGACGTCCAGTTATGTCTTAGCTGATTTATTTTGATTGTATCTCATCATATAGCATAAGGATGCAGTGAGTCTTCTTAAGTTGACTCCATCAATGGTGAATATAATAAAAATCAGAAGTTTACAAAGCCGTGGAAGCATCTCCAAACCGTTTAAAGACTTGGTAAATGCATGTAAAGTTACAGTAAGCTTTCTAATTCAAAGAAAGAAATCACAATCAATGTAAATGTAAATACTGTAGAGGGTTATCCTTCTTTTTAAACACCTTAATGCCTCAGCAACATGTGATGTGCCCATAGAGGGCTTCTTTGCTTTTAATACTATCAACATAAATTTTGTACAGTTATTTTTAACTTTTGAATGCCCTGCAAAAAAAAAAAAAAAAAAAAATGAAGAAAATAAAACCAAATGCTACTTAGCAGCAGGTAAATCCCTGCTGCTACAAAAGATGCAACTCGTCATTTATCCTTCATACTCTGCTTATAATTGCTTTGGTGTTAGTTGTTTTTTTTTTTTTTAAGATTACTCCATCAACCTCATTTCCGTCTTCTCTCTCTAACAAAATCCAATAAAAATACATCTGTGGCCCTGTCCTCTGACTGGAAAGCTTTCTCTCTGCATTTAAAAAGAAAGCCTTCCTGTTAACAGTCTTATTAAAAGAACAACAATCTGCAAGTGAACATAAAACCCGTCTGGTTTGTAAAATGTCCAGGCTCTCCAAAATGCATCTTTAAATTCTTTATGATTACAGCATGCTACTTCATTTGTGTATAAGGGGAATATTCTAAGCATTCTGAGTATTTGCCGATTTTTGGGAGTATCTGGGGAGCACTTGCTGCTTTTCAGGTGCTTTTAAATGAATTTGTTCATATTCTCTGCTTTTGCAGCTGCAGCACTGCGACTTCTCTTGGCCACTATACAACCAGCTCATAAAAGTATTTGAATAAACAGAAATGTTCCAAAGCAAACACACGTGTACATAATGCATGGTACTCAGAAGCCTCTCGAAACGAAACACTTGAACAGCAGGTAACGCCTTATGATCCCTCCTCAAAGTGTCGGCGGTGCTCCTGTTTTTGATTGAGAGGCTACCAAAATTGCAAGCAGAGAGGTGATTAAAATTTCAAATCTATTCGCTTCCACTTCAACCTGCCTCATGGTGCAGCATAGCAATGAAAAGCTGAGGCCTATCCTTGGTTTTCCATTCTTGCTGCTTCCATCATCTCTACCCCGAATTCAATCTCCTACAGTCCCTGTCAGATGGAGCCTGTGTTCTCCCCACAGCTCTCACCTGTTCTTTTTCTTCCACCACTACTCCCACTCACTCTATATCTAGCTTCCTAGAGAGAAAGAAATTGGGGGAGAGGCGCATGCTGGTTTGGGCATATGGTTGGTATTTTGGTGAAATGACAGACAGCCAAAGCAAGCAGGCGATTTTGCAGGCATGTAGGCGAGGTTGCATATCTTAATGCAAGCGTGCATTGATAAATGTTCAGAGAATATTGAGGGGACAGAGTTCTGACACAGAAAGAAATCACATTAACTATTAAACACAACTCAGATCTGAGATAATTAACCCTGACTGTAAGCCCAAGGCGACAGAGGAGAGGAAAGGAAAGATGGAGAAGGAATGAGAAGAGGAAGAGGAAAAGCTGACAGATGAGGAAGGGAAATGGAAAAAAAAAAACCCAAAGCAGTGGAGTAGACTCAGCAGACTGACAGGAGAGGCTCTCATTTTCCATGAACCCATTTGTGAGTCAATGGCCATCTGTGTTTTACATTCTGCACTGATTTAGCCCATCGCCGCTACAGTAGGTGAGCTGGTGCCCTCCTGCCGCACCATCCAGCACAGCCAGGAGGGTGGAGAGAGAAAAACGGTACAGAGAGGCAACACGAATATAATCAGGCTGAAAGAGCGCTCAGGAGACACCGAACCAATTAGTGGTTTGAGTGACAGCTCTGGAATGGCAGAAGCCGCCTGCTTTGACTTCTGACTGAGACACATGTAGTAAAAGGCACATGTATCAACATATGACTCCCAGGTAGCTAAAGCAAATCCATGAAAACAAACCGGCACATTGAAGCTGGGTCAACAAGTTATACTGTGTTGTCCAGAAACCAATAGATGACGATGAGGTGCTCTAAAAACCATCAATATGGAGAGGTGAGTGACTAGTCTGTGTTTTTTTATCCGTCAACCATCTTGATCACCAGAGGAGTCGACCATGAAACAGCTGAGGGAAGCTTTTATTTCTTTAACTGTTTGGTGAAGAACTGAATACCTGGAGTGGTTTCAACCAAAATCTCAGGTATGTATAAGAATAACAAATTCTCAATAGTTACTTTTGGTACCTGATGCATTTGTGTATTCAAAAGACCACATGGATACTGTCATCCGTTTTCTTTAAGACATTTTTTTTTTTTACAAAGGAATATTGTGCCCAAATTGTGGCTATTTTACAGTTAAAACAAACATTAATTCAGGACTTTGTCAGATAGCATTTAGATTTATGGAGAAAGCAGGAAATAAAGTATTGACGCTCTTACGGCTACTCTTGCATCAAAATAGTTTCCCAAATAATCAAAAATTGCCAGAGTAGTCTTAGGAGGAGGTTTTTCGACTCACAAAACAAAAAGCACTCGTGGAGAATTTTCTTGTTTCAAAAAGGGGTGTTTTCTTTACTTATTAAAAATAACAAATATTCTCAGAGTTGTCTTACAAAAAATTCAAGTATAAACGTTAAGCGATGTGTGTGAAAAAACTGTTGCACTCCTCACTCCTTCAAACAAACAATGAGATCCACCTCATCAGCTGCTTCTACTTGTTAATCTCAGCAGGAGGTGGACTGACAAGGAGGAGGGTCAAAACAAAACCAATACTTTAACAAATAAACAATAGCTCTACCATTCACACAACCTTAGATCTTGAAAATTAATAATTTAGCAAAAAATTAATTAATCTAATTCCTAAAGCTATTTCTTAGGACAGGAGAACAAACTTTGGGTCACACAGAGGAAAGTCAAGCAGAAGTGGAGCTTACTATTACTTATTACTTACTATTGTAATTCTATTGTAATGTAAGCAGCTTTCCTGTGAACTGCAAGCATTTTATAAGGTGTGGAAAGTTTGCAACCCGTTGTCTCCTGTTCTCTGATAAGGACAACAAGCTTGCAGGTTTATGTTAAACCCCACATAGCCTTGTGAATTAACAGTTTAATTCTGTAGAATTATTTTAAGAAAACACAAACCTGACATTTGTTGTGTTGCAGCATAATTACTTGATTACAATTATTTTGTGATGACAATTCCAGTGATTAGTCGTTTTGACTCCAACATTGTCAGACTGGATTTTTAAACACAGGTTTGTCCAGGTCATTCAAATGATAACTTGCTGATACTATTGGATTATTGTCTCACTGTATAACCCAAGAGCACTAAAGATTAAGGTCACAAACTGATCAATAAATATTCTCCGCAAGATTTTTACTCAAGAGAGTACAACGGGCCAAAACGGGCTTTGTTCATTAACCAGGTTTAGTTGGTAAATTCTGGCTTGTTTTGTTGTAATTTGGGTTTCATAAGGCTGGTTGGCTTTGAATCTGACCCAGTTACTATGGCAAAATACCTAATGAACTTAGCATGGCCAGAATCAGGTTTACAGTTGACCATTTTTAAAACTATGGCATGATCTGAATACCTCTAATTGTAGCTCTTACCTACTGTTTTCACTCCTATTCCTTCATCTTTCCTGAGGAGAAGTAAGAACACTATCTATGTTAGAAAAAGAGCTCTGGACTGCTGTACTGAATCCTGGCAGCCGTCAACCATAAGAACGTCATAACTCGGCGGACATGCACATGAATGATACTAGTCAAATTGGGACTACAAACTAGAGTGGGAAAAAAACTACAAAAAACAGAAGTTACATTTATGTAATTAACGGTTGAACCTCTCAGCTAGTATAAACCTAAAACCTATGAAGGGGTGTACATTAGTACACGTCACACAGAATACACATGCAAAAATAAAGTACTTTTGTTCAACTGGGGTGGGCTCTGCCTATAACTCTGGTCAATCAAAGGATTGTGGGTAACTATATAGTTCCTAGCGGTAGGTAGGAACTACATAGTACCAGCACTATTTGGTCAGCTCTCATTATGTTGACCATGGATGCTCTTCCTCTGTGGCCTAGGTTACCTTGCTGATTTAAGGTATTTAGATCAAGCCTATATGTCTTCTTTGTTAAATCCATCACCAGAGGGTGCTGGATTTAAGTGACAGAAAGAGTAATAACGCCTTCATTTGGCCCAAATGTATGGAGCCAACAAAGGTGGTATCAAATTATAAGCTACAGTTCACAAAATTCATTTTAAACAATAAAATATTATGCAAACAACATGTCAGTTTCACTTTGTGATAAAAATTAGCCAATCAAAGGCATCTTCACTGCCATGCATGTGTTTCAGGGATGGTCTGTATCTGTTATCTAGGAGGTTGTGGAGAACAGAGCT